AGCATTCTAATTTTGTACTCAAACACATTAAAATCTATTAATAAATAAAATTCAAACAAAAAGACACTAAAGTAGAAAAACCCAGGTCGGATGGAGTAGTGGAGACTCGTCCAACAAGAACATACGACAGAACTCGTCAGAACACAAATGGCAGAACTGCCACCTTCATGTTGATCACAGTGATGCAGCACTGGTCAAAGTACTCCTCTGATAATGGTATTACACGGCGTCGCTTGGTTTTTTACTCACAGCGCTGGACAGCGCTACTCAGGGTTCTCTGGCTGGATGTCGTGATGGGGGAGTGGCAGGTAGAAAAACTGGACGTGATTGGGGTGACAGTTGGTGGATGTTTAGATGCAGTTCCGGGAGTAAAAGTTAGGCACAGCTTAGAGAGGGGGAATGAAGATGCTAGTCAGGAGTTCGAGGCGGGAGATGGAAACAGTGGTTGGGGGATGCTGGGTGTCCTGATGCTGCTCTGGAAGCGGGACAGGACACAGGAGTGGAACGAGAGTACCAGTCAGGATTTCGAAGCAAGAACTGGAGACAGCAGTAAAGAGAAAATGACTATATAGCACTGCAAAGAAAAGTAAATTAAAGCAACCCGAATTTATGAAAAAAGTAAAATCAAAGGATCGGAACTTATGAACAAAAGTGAAAAAAAAGCAAAAGCAAATAAAAACTGAGCTTATACAAATGAAAACTATCTTTAGTAAATCAGCCTTCAGTAAGGGGCTTCCTTATGTAGCTAATGCTTAGGTGAGGCTGAAAGCAAATTGGTTCGTTTGAATTTACACAAAAATTCCACACAATTCGAACTGGGAACGAATAAGTTTTACTGCAGGATATGAATTGAGCATAAATGCATGGGGATCGCGTCTAAAAGCATGGGAATGGAGTCAGCCTGGAGTTACTTTCGGCATTCTGCGACTCTGCACAACGCTTGTTCTGTGTTTTTTTTTTTTGTCTCCAAAATCTCACAAAAGTAAAGGCTGTCTCCAAGCCCATACACGGAGCTTCCATCCCCATGCATACTTCCTCTTTATGCTTAGTTTATATCCTACAAAGGAATTTACTCGCTCTCAGTTTTACCTAAGTATCATTTTCATAAATGGGGAAGCACGCTACTGACGGCGTGTTTTTATAGGACATTGCCACCCATATAAGCCCAGTTTTTTTTTACTTTTGTTTCTTGCTTTTATCCATAGGCTCCGACTCCTTAATTTTGTCTTTTCCTCGTTTTTTCGTTAGTTCAGGTTTGCCTTAATTTACTTTCCCTTGTAGTACTGTGTTGCCTCTTCCCCTTTAGTGCGGTCTCCAGTTCTTGCCTCGAGCTCGTGACTTGTGTCCTCGTCCCCCTTCTCTATTCCGTCCCTAAATCCTGCCCGCAAAGCAACATCTGAGCTCCACTTCATCCCCACTATGAGAATACTCTGGAAGCAAGCAATA